GTGTATATGTTGGGGGGGGGGGTTGGAGACTGTGCGTGTGTGCGTGCGTGTGTGCGTGTGTGTGCGCGCGTGTGTGTGCGTGTGCGTGTGTGTGTGTACTCTAGCTGTGTTCCTGGAGCCCTGTGACAGTGTGGCGGACCTTCCCAAACCCAGTTGTAGAGGTGCTCGCTGCCATTCCCGGTACCTTGGAGCTCAGTTTCGTAGCTGGCTGACTTTCTGTGTTTGATTTGCCTCTCCAAATGCACCCCTGGGCGCCAAATCATTTTTTGAAATTCTTCTTTGCCCTCCTTGCCAGAAGGAACCAAAGTGGGAAGTGGGTCTCTGGCCTCCCAGGAGCAGGAAGAACTAGCATCTGCTCTCCTTCCTAGGGGCTAGACTGGTAATTCCTTTTTCACTGTGTTTCTGTTTCCTTTAAGTTATTCAGTTTTCCAAAAGCGAGCCACACTGCTGTCAGTCAGGCAGCAGGATCAAAGCTTACGGAGCCACCCTTTGGAGTCCCGGCTGTTCTAAACGATATCTCTTCCCTGTCCCCTTTCACGTTTGAGCCCAGAGCTGTGGATCTGGAAACACCAACGAGGAGGATTATTTAGGTTATTTCAGGAGCAGTTTTTTGACCACCCTCATTGAAGTAGACTAAAATCATACTTAACGCACCTTTGCTTTAAGCTTTGGTCAGACGAGCTACTTTATGAATATTTGAAAATGTTCCTAGAGGCAGCGATGCTAAAACATCATCACAGACACACGGTTTTGCACGCCCTCATTAACTAATAAAGAAATAGCTAAAGGAAATGGGATTAGCTTCACAGGAGGGGTGTTAACAGTCCCTGGTCCTCCTCCCAGGTAGGCTCACATAGATGCTCATTTATCATTATCTGTCTTCTTTTCTCAGGAACACTCAGCTTCTTGGAAAAACACAGAACTATAAATGCTCAGGAAAACTCACACCCAGAAATGATGTGTTAAATAAATCCCCACTTGGTATTCTCTTCCAAAGCAATCTGAAGGCATCTGGGCCAGCAAACATTTCTGGGAAGGCAGACAGGCTGCTGGGGGAGCTGTGTGCATTCAGATCTACCCTGCCTCTGATCTCCGCCAGCTTTGCCTGTGGCCATTGAGGTGTTGAAGGGGGTCAAAAGTTGGGTTGAGTAGATTTGCCGTTTCCTGATTTTGTTCTCCTGGACTCAAGCTCTCTGCATCTCAATTTTCTTTTCTGTGCAATGGGGATAATGGCTATTCTGCAACTACGTTATGAAAATCAAAGGAGGTATTGGTGGTGAACACTTTCCAAATTGTAAAGAAGTCTACAAATTTATTATAATTCTGATTGCCTGTAAAACTGTCAACTGAATAATATGGGTAAGGACCGATTATTCGTTTAATCTTGACCAAAGGCCAAATAAATTATTATTACTTTAAAGGATCATGACATTTCATATTTGGGAGAAAAATTGGGAGGGTCTATTTTAGGCCATTCTCCTTTTCATTTTTTGGGGTGAGGAGAGAGGCTTTGGAACGTTCATTTCCTAACCAGAGTCATCGGGCTTGGAAATGGCAAAAAAGAGCCTAGAATCTTGGTTTCTAGGTCGTGTTTGAGCATCATTTCAACTTTGTTGTGCTTGTATACATTTTATGTGCGTATTCATATTGAACAAAGCATTAGAAGTTTATACCGGATGCCAATTTACTGCGTTAAATAAACTGTATATGAACCTTTGAAATTATTTCACTTTTAGCCAGAAGCCCAGGTTACTTGAAAAGTCTTTGAGAAATTGTACAAACTAAGAAGGAAAAACCCAAAGAAAATTACCAATGCAATAACTTAACAGTTGTCAAGAAATGTCAAAGAACAATCAGAGGGTGTGTTTGTCTATATTATATGTATGTACATCTGGGGGTGAGGGAGGATGGTGCTGAAGAGAAGAAAAGGGATATCTGTTAGGTCCTGTAATTAACTTTGCGGTTTAAATTAAGGTATTTTCCCCAATCTATTTCACAATGCCAACAGTTTGTTTTTCCATTGTGAGAAGTTATGTTCAGATTTTAGAAACATGGCCGAGAGCAGGTATCCAAACACACAGATAGTTGATTTTTTCACTTTGTATTTGCTTTGAAGGCCTGAGGTGTTGAGGAAAGAGTATTATCAGAAGAGCTGGGCACTGGCACTAGCTCTGGTACTGTGTAGCCAGAGCCATCATGCAGCTATGATGCTCAGAAAATTGAAATGACTTGCTTACTTTCCAGGTCAGCATATTAGAGATTAAAAACCTAGTACAGAGAGAATAAGTACTCTGTAAAGGTGTCTTTTGTTTTCTTAACAGGGTCATTAAAGGGCATTTTATTGGTTTTTTAGTTTCTGAAACATATTATGTGCAAGGGACCTTGACAGGTGCCAGGGAGAAAGCAAAGGTGGATCAAATGTAAACCTGTCCTCAAAGGGTTTACAGACTACATAGTGGGAGGAAACATAAACAATTACTTGTAATATTGGGAGGGAACACAGTGTCTGATCAAGAAAGTGGTTCTCCATCCTGGTTATGTGACAGAATCTCCTGTGAAGTTTTGTTTGTGTAAACATGGATTCCCAGGCTCTATCGTCCAGAGGTTCTAATTTGGTAGCACTGGGCTGGGGCCCAGCACTTGTTTGTTTTTTAGAGCTTCAAAGGTGATACCCACTAGGAGAATGTCTGGCTAACGGATTTGGTGTTCTACTAGCGGTTCTCAACCTTGCTACATGCTGGAATCACCCAGGGTGTCTTTAAAAGTCCCCATGTCCAAGCTGCACCCAACACCAGTTAAATATGGACTTCCAGAATATAGGGCTGCTGAGAGGATTAAGTGAAAACATATAGAAAGGTATATGCCTAGGTATATGCCTGATACACAGTATATGCTCAACAAATACTATTTTCATTAAGTAACAAGTGTGCACCATAAGAAAGGTATAGAATGAGATCTTTGGGAGGTCAGGGTAGGTAGAAAATACTTTTGACCAAATGGATCTGGAAGGCTACATGAAACTGGCATTAAAATAAATTGCCATAAGATACAATCATAGAATGGTGAAAGGGGTTCCAGATAGAGAAAAGGGCTGGAATATTAAAGAAAAGATAAACAAATCTAAAAGAGAACCTACTGGAGACACCCAGGGCTCCAGGAGCATTTCAACTGGTGTCAGCAGAAAAGTCAGAGATGGGGCAAATGGCAGGTACAAGCAGTAGAAATTTGGTAGTGGGACCTGGAG